TTTCTAGGTCTGGGTTATTATTAAAAGATGTATATTGAGTTCAGTCATTTTGTTGTATTTTTACTGTTTGCATTCTTAGTCATTCTTTGTGCTTCAGCAATTATCACTTCATCTGTTTTCTGTCTGTCGTTTCTTGGCCACATTTATATACCTCTTGAGCCTTTAGTATTCCTTCTAGTATTCTCTGTATGAATGGTCTCATGGACATGAGTTCCTTTACACTGTTTGTAGCATGGATACTTTATCTTTCTCCTTCAACTATGGCAGATAGCTTTGCTTGGTACTGTCATCTAGGTTGACTTGTATAGTCTTTTAGAACTTGGCATACATTGCTCCAATCTCTGATAACTTTTAAAGTTTGCATTTAGAAATCATGTGCTTTTATGATGGGTTTTCCTTTATGTATAACTTGTGGTTTTCCTTTTGAAGCTTTTAATATTTTTACTTAGCTCTGTATGTTTAATGTTTTAACTATGATATTTTGTGGGAAATTTCTTTTGTTGTCATTTTTATTTGGTGTTTGTGTGCATTGTCAAAGGAAGTCTCAGGAAAGCCCAGCATAGACTTCATACTCTGGTTCCCTTTCATGAAGAGCTTTTTTGACAAAGCATAACAAGTTTAAAAAGAAAAAATATAAAATTTATGGTTCAAATAACAAAGGGGCAACAGGAATTGAAATGGCGCTGAATCCTATGTTTAAGGAGACAAACAGATTAAGGAAACGGTGACTTTGGGGCAAGATCCCACCCAGCTAAGCTTAGGTCCAAGCATAGTGTTACATACCTTGAATCCCAGAAGACAGAGGCAAGCAAATCTTTGAGGTCAAGGACAGCCTGGTATAGAGCAAGCTCTAAGTAGATAAAAACTTACGTCCAGGCACGGTAGTACATGCCTTTGATCCCAGCATTCAGAAGACAGAGCCATGTAGATTTCTGAGTTCAAGGTCAATTTACGGAGTAAGCTTCAGGACAGTCAAGCTTAGGTAGTGAAAGAATTGGAAAACAGAAAGCTGGTGATAATATAAGGATAAGGGGTGCCACGTTCCAACTCCTGTGAACAGCAGAATTGAGCAGCTTTGGCCATGTGTCTCTGGCTTTAGAGTCAAGAATAGAAGGGACTACTGGAACAATTGATGCTGATTAGCTGGAGTTAAGAAATTAGCCGTGATTAAGAAGAGGCCAGCATAACTGAGATGAAATATGGGAAGTGTTTTCTGAGAGCACAAAGAAGCTGTGTTCTAGAGAGACAAGGTTGTTCTTTGTGGTGCAGCTGGATTGGATAATGTATAAGAATTACCCAGGTGGTATTGGTTTTGAAGACATGATGGGTTCATGGAGAGCAGCTGAGGCTTGGCACTGTGAGAGGCCATGGAAGGCCGTTGGTGAAAGTATAGCCTCAGTTGTAGTTGATGGGCCAGGACTGAAGGAATCATGAAAAGAAGTTAAGGCTTGGCACCATGAGAAGTGTCTATGAGAAGCTATCGATGAAGCTTAGTTGCATCAGAAAACCCCAGTGTATTGGAGATGCCAATACCATGGGATGATCACCAAGATCAGCAGTAGCAGTGCAATGGAGTCAACCAGAGCCTAGAATGCAGAGCTGTAGATGTGATACGAGTCCTTTAGAGGAGCCCAGATGATAGTGCGTTGATCCCAGACATTGGAATAAGAAACTGTAGGGTTGAAGTTGCCTTAGATACCCCAAGATGTTAGAGATGCCAGAGCTTTGAGATACCTGCCAATGAAAGCTGCTAACAGAGAGTGGAACCAGCTCAAGAGACCAAAGAATGTGCTGCTGAATGCCAGATCTTCCAGCAGCAGTCAACATGAATGAAAGGAGTTCGAGATCTGAAGAGCACTTTGTCATTAGACATGGAGTTTGCTCAGCTGGTTTTCTGTCTTGCTTTGGCCCAATATTTTTGACTTTGTATGGGATTACAGTTAAGAGAGAGCATGAATCTCAGAAGAAACCGAACTTTGGACTTTCAACATTGTTGAGACTGCTATAGACTATGGGTACTTTAAAAGTTGGATTAAATGTATTTTGCGTTATGCTATAGTTAGGTATGGTCCCCATGGACTCATGTGTTTGAACAAGCCTATTCAAGTGGGGCTAGGGAGTAGAATGTGGTGGTTTGAATATACTTGGCCCAGGGAATGACACTATTAGAAGTTGAGGCCTTGTTGGAGTACCTGTGGCCCTGTTGGAGGAAGTGTGTCACTGTGGGCTTGGGCTTTAAGAACCTCATCCTAGTGGCCTTCAGATGAAGATGTAGAACTCTCAGCTCTTCCTGCACCATGCTTGCCTGGATGCTGTCATGCTTCCACCTTGATGATAATGGACTGAACCTCTGAGCCTGTAAGCCAGCCCCAATTAAATGTTATCCTTATAATTGTTGCCTTGGTCATACTGTCTGTACATAGCAGTAAAACCCTAAGACAATCTGACTCTGTGGTAACTCCCACACTTTTATATATTGATTCTCTCTTAGTATCTACAACTTGATTCTTTGTTTCAGGTTCACAGTGATGCAAGAAAGTGCTGTGTATCTCTAACTAGCCATTCTCCTGCACTTTTGAGAAAACAGTTTATCTAGATGTATGTATTTTATGGCATATCTCTTGGGAAGTATTTGATCCTCCCTTTCCTCAACCCCATGGCTGTTTGCCCACAGGAGTGGGGGCCACAGAACAGGACAGTACAGGACAGGACAGGACAGTACAGGACAGTACAGGACAGTACAGGACAGGACAGGACAGGACAGGACAGGATAGGACAGGACAGGACAGGGTTTGCACAGTGTGAGTACTGAAGCATTGACTTCTGGGTCTGCCTCAGAGAGACAGCTCAACTTTATTTCAGGTGAACAAGCCCTATATAGATCTTGGGAGTAATGATTTCCCGGGGGGATCTACATTACTGGCTAAGGCAGGAATGCTTTATTTTACAAGAGGAATTTGATAAATCTGCTGGGCAGGTTCTTATTGGGAAAGAGGAAGTTAAAACTGTAATCTGGCCATAGGCTTGTAATATGACTTTTCCCCAAAATTTTTGGGAAGGGCTGATTGGTCATAACAGAGTAACTAATGATCATAAGAGAGGAAGGGTTGAGTGGTAAACCATGTAGCGTTTGCCAGAAGCTTTGTGCAGGGCCATCTTCTAGATAAGGTCAGGCACCTGTTCTTAGAGATACTCTCCAGATAAGATCAAGAAGAGAAGAGGAAGCCCCGCTGAGAAAGGAGTCCTCCATTTTCTGTGGGCTCAGAGAGTTTATCCAGACATGGTGGACTGTGACCTTAATGCAGGGTCTTCCAAAAGAGGTGTGTAGTTTACAAAAACTGTCCTTTAAGTTGTTGTCTGCTCCTTTTTGAACATTTCCCAAGGCCATGTTCTCACCCTTCTCCCTCCTCCTATTTATTTATTTATTTTTATTAAAAACAAGGCCTCCCTGCATGTCTAAGGAATGCCTTAAACTCACACCCTCTTGCTTCAGGCTCCCAAGACTGGATCCCTCTGGGATTTTAAGCATTTGCCACTATGATTATCCCCTTCTTCAGGTTTGATATTTACTGAGACATGAATATTGTTATTATTGTTATGGATGATGTACTATTGAAGAAAATAGTTTGAGTACGAACATCTTTCCTTTATCCTGTTCCCTTTTGGACTTGTTGATGGTAATGGATGGATCTGATCAAACCATGTTTTGTGGATGCTGATTACATGGCTCTTGAGGAGGATTTAGTCACCAACTGCTGCAAGATCTCCAAGCCCAACATGGAACAGTTTTGGAGGCACAGAGTTCCTTCTGCTCACAGATATAAACAGCAAATTTATTATGCTTTATTGTATTCACAGGATAAGTTAATTATCACCAGTGAAGTTTTTACCACATTGTCCTTATGTGCCTAAAAATAAACTAGTCAGTATCAGGCCACTGAAGTGTGAACCAATACCTGCAACTTAGCTGTGTTGATCCAAACTCCTTTCTTACCCGCACATACAGGCTCTGGAGACTCACAGACTCCCACAGGACAGTAATTTCTTGATTTGTTTCTATGTGGACCTACTTCAGCACTGGCATAGATATTCAACTGGTACATATGGCTTGACAACTATGTTAGAAATGGAGAGAGAGATAAATTGAAAGGGTTAGGGAAGAGAGAGAAGGAAGAAGGGGAGAGATGGAGGTGAGCAGCAGTGTCAGAAAGAGGGAGGGAGAAAGAAATGAGATCTAGGATTTTCACAGATCAATTCATACTCAACAGGGCTTTATTTAAAAAGAGGGAATTAAAAATTAGAGAAACGAACAAGGTCCCTAGATTTTATTTAGAGTTTAGGTGCTCAACACAGCTCCAACTCTCCTGCACCAACCCAAGTAAAGTTTGTTTACACACAAGTGTGCTCTTGGCTCCAAATGGAAAGAAAAATTCCAGGTCTTTCTAGGCTCTGGCCCAGATGAACTGTCTGTCCAGCCATCTGTAAGTCTTGAAGATGGATTTGAATGGAGGTGACAAGGGCTGGAGTTATGCTGTAGATAAGAACCTCACTTAGATTTCCATGGCTGACGTTTCATAGTGATTTTTCAGTGTGCATGACTGACTGTGTGCAATACTTGTTACTACTGAGAAATGAGACAACACCTGCTGAGTGTGTACACACACGCTCCCTCACTGCCAACTCTGCTTTGTAGAAAATGTCTCTTCAATACTCCAGCTGAACTGTCAAGTACTTTACTTTTGAATAGGTACATCAGAAGAGTTTACAATTTGACTCTTTCTTTGTCAACTATCTTGAGCCCACAAGGTGGCAGTGTTTTATAGGTGTCCTGAGCAGAATTCTCAAATGGGAGAGAAGGGGGGAAGAGGGGTGGGCAGGAAGAAGAGGGAGGGGTAGTGAGAGGGCTGGAGGAAAGGCTTGGTGCAGCTTAGATAGTGAACAGTCACTTTCCTGATTGCTAGCAAAGCTGCTTTCCATGTTTCCTATAGAAGATGTGGAAACTTTTCTATTTGACTTTATGAGTTTAGGGTTGAGAATCTGAATCCTCAGTGAAGAGGGAAGAGGAGAGAATGAAATCCTTGAGTGTTTCACTAGTGGTCCTGTGGCTTCAGCTACACTGTAAGTTTGGGAATTTCTTCTGGATATGAAGTGTGTGATATGTAAAGTTGTTGTCTGCTCCAGGCTAATGGTAGAAACACAGATAGTTTTAATCTCTAGTTAGGGGTAGGAGGCCCATTACAAAGCCATTCTGGAGTGTTATGCATCCATATGCATCCCTTCTTGGTTGTCTGACCTTTGTTTTTCTCCACAGGGGTGAGAAGCCAGCAGAAGGTGCAGCAGAGCCCAGAATCCCTCAGTGTCTCAGAGGGAGCCATGGCCTCTCTTAACTGCACTTTCAGTGATCTTAATTTTCAGTATTTCTGGTGGTACAGACAGCATTCTGGGGAAGGCCTCAAGGCACTGATGTCCATCTTCTCCAATGGTGACAAGACAGAAGGCAGATTCACAGTTCATCTCAGTAAAGCCAGCCTTCAAGTTTCCCTGCACATCAGAGACTCCCGTCCTGGTGACTCTGCTCTCTACTTCTGTGCAGTGAGTGAGCCACAGTGCTCCCCAGGCACCTGCAGCCTGCACATAAACCTACTGTGCCCCATTAAGGCCTGAGATAGAGCACACACCACCCAGTCAATACGTTCTGTTTCTATTCTGTATGTAATGGGAACTAAGTGTAACAGTAGCGAGGGCTTCATTGATTGGTAAAGCATTTTAACATTTTGAAATTAAGTTATCCTGAAGGGACAGGTACACTTTGGTTTGGTTGAAATATTTTCCACTTTTCTCTTCTCACATGCTGATGGTTATACAACGGTGTACACACCCTTAATGTGCATATGCCAGTGAGTTGAAAGACTGGGCCATGTGACTCACCAGATGCCATTCTATAAAGACCACCTTCACCTCTACAGCACTGTGCCTTCCTTGATTTTAAAAGTTTTCAATTAAAAGATATTTGTTTTCAATTTTTTAAAAAACTAGTTTACAGTGTGGCAGGTTTCTCTCTGGCAGTTTCATATATATTTATTTTTGGTTGAGCCTTCTCCAAGCGAATCCCCTCTGTCCTCTCCCAGTTCCCTAATCCCACGTAAACCTTCTTGATCCCAGTGTCTCCTCTTTCATTTCTATGTCACATGTTCTATTTCCTTCCCACCTCATCTTCTGGTTGATTGCTTAAGACTTCCTCTTTTAGGTCTGAGGGTGCTTCACACCCATTTCTATAGGTTTTTAATATAGCTTATGATTTTAGCATTGGTGAGTGATGACTTCCTATTTCCCAATGTCCTCATCGGTCTCCACTGTCACTTGATTTCTTTTTATTCATTAATTAATCTACTTTACATCCATATTACAGCTCCCCTCCCTCTTCTCTTCCCAGTTCCAGAGTCTTCCATCTCCTCCTCTTCCCTTTCTTTTTAGAAAAAGGAAGGTCTCCCATGGATATCAACCTGCAGTAGCATTAGGATCATCTTCTCCTATTGAGGCCAGACAAGGCAGCCTGGTTAAGGGAAATGGATTCAAAGACAGGCAGCAGAGTCAGAGCCCCTGCTTCTGTTGTTAGGGATCCCACATGAAGACCAAGGTGTTTATCTGTTACACATGTGTAGTGGGCCTAGGTGAGCTCCATGCACACCCTTTGGTTGGTGGTTCAGTCTCTGTGAGCCCTTATGGGTCCATATTAGTTTATTCTGTATGTCTTCTTGTGGCACTCTTGACCTCTCTAGCTCCTTCAATCCTTCCACCCACTCTTTCACAAGAATCCCCAAGCTCCATCTAATGTTTGGCTGTGGGTTTCTGCATCTGTTTCCATCAGCTGCTGGATGAAGTCTCTCAGGTGACAGTTAAGCTAGATTCCTGTCTAGGCTGAGGTCTATTTTATTTTCACTGGTTGTCAGGGTGCTGGCAGACATCCAAGAATGCAGGCAGACCCTAGGTTCAGAAAATGGAGTTCATGGGACAGGGTGCATTGCTGCTGAGCTTGCCCCAGGGGGACATGTCAGGCAGGGGGTTGGGTGTGAGGGCTCAGCTGGTTGTTTCTGGTACCCACAGGCATCCAGGAATGCAGGCAGAGCTATGGATCAGAAGATGGAGCTGAGGAACAAGGGCACAGATCACTGCTGCTGGTGTGGCCCAGGGGAACCCAGCAGGCAGGTGATTGACAGGAACAGGGCTTTCCTGGTTGTCCCTGATGCCAGCGAGCCTCTTGGAATTCAGGCAAAGCTTTTAGCAGTAAGATGGAACTCGGGACAGAGCACAGCTAAGTGCTGCTGGGCCTGCTGCAGGGATTGAGGTAGGGAGGGGCTGTGCTCACCTGGTGTTCCTGTTGCCAGCAAGCCTCGAGGAAGAGTTGTGGACCAGAAAATTGAGCATGGAAACAGGGTGCAGCTCACTGGGTATGTATGGGGTTGAGGAGAGCAGTGGTCTAATCTAGATGTCCTCAGTGGCCACATGCCTCCGGAAATGCTGGCAGAGCCATGAGCCTGAATATGGAGCTCACGGGACAGGCAAACAACACTTTCTAAGGAAGAAGATTTCAATGGGAAGGAATGTTTTGGAGTTCAAGAAAAAACACAGTGATTAGTCGAGGCCTTTGATTGTGGTTCTGGGGATTGAATGTAGAGTCTCAAAAACACTCAGCAAGTGTTCTATCATTGAACTATATCCCTGCACAATACAATAGTGACCTCCAGCTTTAGCATACCACTTCTGGTTTCTACCTTTCAGAGGATAGCAGGTGATTAAAAAGTAAAATTCCTGAGTGAGAATAAGGTAGGACCTCCTTGTTCCGGGAAACTTTTCTTCAGAACTAGAATGAACACAGATAGAGAACATAAAGTGAAACTAGATTTTAGCCGTTATGAGTAGGGATTGCCTCTACTCCTGTAGAAAGAAAAACTATGTGTTATTGCTAATATGAACATAATTTATAGGGAATGCAATTTTATTAACCACTGTGGAGATCTTTAAATGATCCCATCATGCTGAGTTCTTGTTTAAACATCAACCTTTCGGTTTTTTTAATTTTAATTCTAAAATGTTAATCACAGGCTTTATAAGTTTGGTAATGCTCAATAACAAGATGCCCATACAATCAGAAGTGTAACCCAATACCCAACCTAGATATACCAACTATCTTTGACTGGCACAGACAGGCAAACATTTGCCTCCATGTTCCCCTCCCCCCTCTCCCCTCTTGTCTCCTAGCTCCTCCTCCTCTCCTTATTCCTCCTTACTCCTCCCACCATAGCTCCTCCTACATATCACCCTTCTTGTTAAGATAAAACTTTTCTCTCAAAATACAATTAGAGCAAAACTATACCAATTTGTATCAGTAAGGTACAAGATAGACCTAATATCCAGTCCATCATTTTGTGGACTAACCAGAACCTCTGTCATCTCTCCTAACTAAAAGATTTAGTTCTGAACCTGGCTTTTCTCTTGGCTTTAGAATGAATGTCAGTTGAAAATCATCCTCTCAAGTCTTTTCTCTCAAAGTAAATAGCTATGATTGTCTATGAGACTGTAAGTTTTCAACCCCGTCAGAAATCCAGAATGACTGAATTAACTGAAATTATGGGAAGCACAAAGCACAGCTTCTAAGACTTAGTCAATTTATAGAGACCACTGAGCATCTGGACAGTCCCTATACTACAAAAGATTGGAGCATCTGATCTTCAGCCTTCTGGCCTAGGATCATCTGAGAGACCTAGTGATGCAGAATTATTAAGGGCTGATTATTCTGTCTTGGCAGATATCATCAGCCGACTATTCTGCAAGTGTGTCCTTTTCAGGACAGTAATTCTTCTGTAGATGAAAAGAGGCAATTCTTGCCTAGTGGCTGTCTCACCACAACTGGAGTAACCCCAAAGACGCTCAATTTCTTAGAATCCAAGACAGGAAGCTGTCAGGAGCAGATAGTCTAATCAAAATGAACCTTAATGCAGAAATGTTTGTAACATCAATTCTGTGGACTTCTGATGTTCTAAAACCAACTATCCATGTAAGGCAATCTGGTCTGTTGTCTGTTAACCCCTCTCAGCTATTTCCAAATAAAATATAGAAAACACCCTACAATAAACTCAGAGCCATGAATTTACTATAGGCCCTTAACTCACAGGCTAGCCATCACAAATCAGTTAAAAAAGTTAAAAAAGGACTGGGCCTAAGCCTTGTATTCCTGAATGTGTTATATAGGCACAATGCCTATGAGAATAACAGTATTAATCTCACTTCTATATCAATAAGAAACTCGTACCAATGAAAACCTTAAATTTGAAATCAAAGTAAATTTTGTATCATTTAAGAAATTATAACTTCAGCTTAATAACAATTATATAGATTTCTACCAATCTGTTATGGCTATGCAATAAATCCTAGCTATTCCTCCCTGTTCCAACAAACCACTACTTTTCCCTAAAAAGACAGCTCGATATTAACCACCTCAGTCCCCAAGACCAGGGAATAGGGGCACTGACTCTTCATTAACTTCTTCAAGCTGATTACGGGTGTTGAGATATTAGAAGAAGGGTGGGTAAGAGTAAATTGATAAGCCTCTGACATCTGAGTCTTCACTGCATTCAGCTGAGATTCCAGGACATCAGAGGTTCGAGCAGGTCTGCTCAGCTTACTTGATGAGTGGATACACCAAGGCGGTATATTCTGCAATATACAATTCTCAAAACAAATTTTAGTATCAAAATATTTTTTGTTTGAATTCTGGAATCTAGACTTCTGGTACCTGTCTCTATCATATCTAATCCATGTAATTGTGGGAATTTCTACGAGGGTGTGCTCCCACCATCCTCCCATTCCCGCCTCCCTGCTCTCAAATTCCCCAACACTAGGGAATCCAAACTATTGGGTATTAAGGCCCTCCACTTCCACTGATGCCTGACAAGGCTACTCTCAAGTACCTATACAGGTGGAACCATGAGTTCCTCCCTTTGTGGCTGGAGGTCTTAGAATGGCTTCTCCAGCTTGTTTCTTAGGACCATTTGCTTGAAAAATTGTTTTCTAGCCTTTTACTCTAAGGTAGTGTCTGTCTTTGTCGCTGAGGTGGATTTCCTGTATTCAGCAAAATGCTGGGTCCTGTTTATGGATCCAGTCCGTTAGCCTATGTCTTTTTATTGGAGAAATGAGTCCATTGGTGTTAAGAGATATTAAGGAACAGTGATTGCTGCTTCCTGTTATTTTTGTTATTTAAGGTGGAATTATCTTTGTGTGGCTGTCTTCTTTTGGATTTGTTGGAAGATGATTACTTTCTTGCTCTGTCTAGGGTATAATTTCCCTCCTTGCATTGGAGCTTTCCTGCTAATATCCTTTGTAATGCCAGTTTTGTGGAAAGATATTGTGTAAATTTGGTTTTGTCATGGAATATCTTGGTCTCCCCATCTATGGTAATTGAGAGTTTTGCTGGGTATAGTAGCCTGGGCTGGCATTTGTGTTTTCTTAGGGTCTGTATGATGTCAGTCCAGGATCTTCTGACTTCTATAGTCTCTGGTGAGAAGTCTGATGTAATGCTTATGGGTCTGCCTTTA